ACAAAACACAAATTATCATAATTAATAACTGGGTACTACTCATTTCTGAGTACACCTGCCTGTCAGGGTGATTAACCAAACCTTATTACAGATGCCTGCTCTGTTTAGACAGCAACTATGTCAAGCAGAACGTAGTTACAGTTTCTGGGAAAAACGTGCATAATCTGGCATCATCAATTTTTTTTTTTTATTGAATAAGACCCGTATACACAAAACACTCAGTGACTAACATGTAAGCACAACCACTGATGCCTTCCGAACAATTCCGTCTATGCAATTTCACTCAAAGCTTTAGTCAACCAGCGATATGGTTTTTAGGCACTTTCTAAAAGGTGCCATGTGTTGGGTTTGCCTCCCCAAGCCAATATCAGGAAGTCACCTCCCTAACACAATTATTGAACCAATTAGGGTCTCTATCTTCTGAGTGTCATTTTGAGAATTTAGCATATTCCATTATTTAGCATGTTACTTAACTAGCTTTTTGAAAATATAGAAATATCAAAAGCTATTTCTATTGAAATAACTAAAATGAGTGTGTTGCATTTCATAATGAAACTCTTCATATATTCAAACCAATGCAAGAAAACCAATTTCAAATAGACTAAAAGCTTAGTCCTTTAACTGTTTTATAACCCTGCAAGCCCACAAAATAATTAAGTACATGCAGAAATATAAACCACACCATCTAAAACAAGTTAATCCTGTAACAGTGCAGTGACAGATAAAACAAATATATATAACAAGGTTGTCATATTGTGTTTAAAAAAATTTCTTTTGATGTTAATATTTGGAGAATTTCTAATGCCAAAAGGAAAATAGGAAATTCCAACAAAAGTACAAAACAATAAAAAATTTAACCTCAGAATGTCATGCAGAAATTGGAATGACAGTCATTTTTGTTCATAAGAATCATAAAATTAAAAGTAAGAGGAAAATCTATATAGGTTTGCATAAAAGCATCTTATAAAACACAATAAAAGGAAAGTATTAGCATGCTTTCCACTACATATTAACCAAATACTCCTAAATAATTATTTTTAATAAATACAAACCAAATTTTGACTGTAACATCTTTAAATTTATTTTTTGCTTATCAGTTCTGATTTAGGTTTATTTACTAATTTCTTGAAAAAAGGAAGTTCTCAGCTGTCTAAGTTTTTGTAATTGTTATAATTTGATTAATATATTTGACATTTTGTTATAAAAGGCAGGTAGAATGTAATTAAATATAATAAAAAAAAGAAGATAATCTGAAAAAAAAAAAAAAAAAAAAAAAAAATTTCAAGTCATGAATGCTAATAACATAACATGAACCCATGAAGGCTGAGGTTAAATAACATTTAAAAAAACAAGAATAGTAATTCAGAAAAGTTTGTAAAATTTCAAAAATCTGTCACTGTACAAGCAAAATAATTCATGCAGGAAAGCCAAATGTGGTGGGGATAGACGATAGATACAAGCAGATAATTAGTAAAAAGAGGAGAAACCAAAAATCGTTACCTTCTACACGTTCTCCTGAAAGCATCAGAAGCAGGGATAATTCCATTAGCATGTCCCCCAAATCCAGTCTTCCCGACTGGGTATTTTTCTACCAAGTCACAAATACCAATAATATCAAGTGACCTCACAGTACTTTAATACTGAAGTAAAAATAAATACCTCCACCACAAAAAAAAAAAAAAAACCCAAAAAAACCTGTTTATATTGTCAGTTCATACTAATTTCTAAAATAATGCAATGTGTTATTCTAAATGAATTCAGTTTTGGGAATTCTTTCTATTTTATAAATGGATGTTTAATTTTGAAGTTGTTACTGTAAACATTTACAGGAACCGACTAACTTTACACATTAATTTTCTGGTTAATAAAATAGTTCTAGAATGATTAAAATTAAGCTATCAGAAACCAAAGTTATATAAATCCTTTATTTTATGAGAAGAAAAATCAAAAATTGCAAGGTATTTTTTCAGGGTAAAAGAAAATTAGCATTTTTTTTTTGTTTGCATACATTTTAAAATGTATCTAGCTAAGTTTTTCTCATATTAAAGATTTTCAAAAGATCTATTTTTAATATAAATTCTATTTAAGCCTTTGATACATTTGCTATTATTTTTTAATTAATAAATTTGCACAAAAATTTCATGTTCAATTCAAAGTACTGTAAAATGCTTTGGCTGTTTTCCAATAGTCCTTCTCAAAGTAGTACAACTTGCCAGATGACACGTTTAAAGATAATTTTTTTTAAACTTAAAAAATATAAAACATTTTCTGAAGATATTTCAAAATTCCATTATGATTTATGGAAGATTTTTTTTTCTCTTTAGACTTGTGATACCAAAATTGTATTCATACCAGAGAAAAGGCTCAATTATAAATGAATAAAGACAAAAGGAAAACTTATCTTAGCTAACGTGTTTCATCCTCCAAGGGACTTTATCAAGGCAAATGTAAAGATTTTATTTTGTGACAAGTATTTATATATACATTTTTTTTATAGAATTTGTATAAAAATATTGATCTTTTGGATATCATTTGATATAACAAAAATCTAGCTTGATAAATATTTATTACTTCATTAATTATGAAATTTAACAAATAAAATAACCAGTTAATATATTCTTGAAACAATTTCTGATTTGTTATCAACATAAATTGCATTGTAAGGACAAGAATTTATTTGATTACTATCAAGAGGTCACAAGATAAATCAAACTACATACATCAAACAAAATAAAAATATGCAAATATTTGTTTAGATCAATGTTTGACGATGTGGTATAGGCAGTTGAACTCGATTCTATTTCAACTTATTAATTTTAATATCAATCCTGTATTATGTCAACAAATTCAAATCATACAATTATAGTATAAAGTCTATATGAAGATTATGTAGTGGGTTATATATAAAAAAAGAATGATCTTACTTATGCATTATCATTGAATATACTATAACCATTCAAATGAATACAGTATGTAACAAATATGAAGCCTATCTAATAGATGGGCTCATTCATTCAGTTGAACTAACAAGTATAAAATTAGATCCTGTCAAATGCTGTTACCAAGTCAAAAGTTGATAGCAAAAGGGACAATGGTAATACTTCTTATATTTAGTTTATACACTCATATTAATTTGGAGTTCAGAATGATCTGGTAATTAACAATGGTTGTTCAAAATATCTTTTGAAAGAAAGGATTCTTAAATGTACGTAATATTTTGCGTATTGTACATATGTTAAGGTATACAATATTTTATTAAAAAAAAAAGTAAAGACAAAAAAAATTGTGAGTCAACAATTGAATTCAAACAATCATTTGCATAAACTGCCCAAATAAAAAGAGAATTTGCTTTTTATAAAATTAACCCTTTGTACTTGAAAGTTCATAAATAAACCCATTGCACCCAAGACTTTTTAATGTTAAAAAATAGACAGCTTCAATATTACTTAACTTCAACAAATTCATTTTAAAATAAGGGAATCAATAAGATGACATCAATTTATAATTAAATACCTGAAAATTAATGCATTAATCTATTAAGTATGTACATTGAAGTATTCCTCAAGTACAGCGGGTAAAGAAAAAAAGATTCAAACCAAGTAAACACCTTAAAGAAGGTCCAAAAGAATTTATATAATTTCTATAATTTTTGTTTTGTATACCAGTTATCTTTTACTTCATAACTTTTACTAAAATATACTAAAATTTAAAAACACACAAAATTTTCAGTGAAAAAAAAAAAAAAAAAAAAATAACCTTACATCTTTCATAAAAGGAAATTTACAAAACGTGACAAAGCAATATTTTTAAAACATGTTTTAGATTTATGAAATTAAATCCAAGTATCTTCATCACACTGTAAAGAAATATCTAATATAAAAGAAAAAAATGAATTACCCTTGTATTGTAGCCTATTTATTGCCCTGCTTGGGGTAAAATGATTAAAAAAAAAAAAAAATCCAAACAAGTAAAATCAAATATCTTCAGTTTTTCATATTTGTAAAACTGGTAATGAATGGAAACCAGATTTCAAATTATAATTACATTTACCATCCCTTTTGCATTAACAACCAGATATGATACAAGACAGTTTGCCAACAGTTTTAAAAATAGTATAGTATTAGACAGAAAAACTGACTATTTGCTCTTTGGTAGGTGATAAAAATTGTAATATGAATTTTATAGATGATCACCAATGCACTACTCACATTAATATTTTAACACGTTCTTGGAACAATTTCCTCATTTATTTTTCTGCATTTTCAAACTTTTTTTCTATTTTAACAATCAGAAAACTAATTCTCTACTCTTACAGTTTATAAAACTTACTCAATTAACCCTTTAATTAATTTCCATATTTAAAAGTAACTTGTTACTTTCAATACCTACTGCAAAATAGAAGTTACAAAAGGAACTTAAATTTTAGTAATTTCTAAAATTAAATTAAACAGAAACCAACTTATATAGTTAACTTGATATAGCTAGATAAACTTTAGAAAAGGAAATATTTTTTCTCCATTGCAAATTTACACTGATTTAACTGTATGAGAAAGAACCAAAAAGTTCTTAGCCTGAGAAAAATTTATACACCTCTGCCCCCAATAAAATTCATATCAGAAAAACTGATTTTAGGAAGTGACTTAAGCCAAGAACTTTTCTGCATTCCTTTTAAAACTAAAAGGATTAAATATTTTTAAAGTTATGTTATCTACTACTTGTATACAACACACTAACACTTCTGTGTTTTCTTTAACGAACTAATGAAACAACAGTTCTGTTTAATTTAACAAAAGAGAAAATTTACCAATTTTGTAAAAATGGAGAAACAACTGCATCCTTTCAGAAAATTTGTTTATAAATATTTTAGTAAATATTTATAATAAAAATATTTAAGTGTATGAACTTTTTATAATTCTTCCAAGAATATAGAGATGAAGACAGCCAAATAGAAAAGTAATCGTCAGGACAAAATTGATTTTAATTTGATTAAAATCTCTTACCTGTTCTTCGAGTAGATGAAACATAGCCATAAGATGTTTGAGGTCTGTAATGAAAGTCAAACTAAACTTACAATTTTTAAAAAATATTTGCAGGAGAAAACTATGTAGGAAAAAAACATCTTGTAATGGGATAGTTCAGCTCAAACCACAGAAAAATAAAAAATAAGTGAAGGTTTTGTATAGCATATTTCAGGTTAACTTGAAAATAAAACGTATATTCTATAATTTAGTGTTATATGTTTAGTATATCCTTAATTACTGATCTAATTTGTATGTGATAAGGTAAGATAAAGTAAGGTATTGTTTACCAGTACATCAACCGTATGGATCATTTCATGCTAAGTAATTTTTAATCCTTTTCATTTTATTCTGTGACTGCTTTACAGACAGATTTTTTTGGGGGATGTGAATAATTTGTATTGGTGAAGAAATATTTTGTGGATTTTTTTTTTGTGCATTATATCTACAAGAGTTTAAAAAGCCTAGTAACTGAGAGACAGGTATTTTTTTTTAAAATAGTATCTTAAAGATTGGTATATTATAGAATTTATGACAGAATGCAATGGATATACACACCTATCTTTGTGTTTTATAGTTAATCAGTGTCCATAAAGTGTAGATCATGAGTTGCGGGGCAGCTGTAAGGAGTTTCATTTTAATATTACTAAAGCTAAAAAGAAAAATATATAGGCACTAATTTTAAAAATAAGTTTGGAAGAAATAAAAAAAATAAACTATACTATATTGACAAATTTACTGAGTAAGGTGAATTTTATCAAATTAATGCACATTTCCAGTAAGATAACAAAAAAAATAAATAAAATAAACTTTCTACTTGCTGTAAAAGCATTTTATGCTAACTGAAACTATAAAGCCATATTCAGAATATGAAGTTAGACATGAAATCGATAAAATAAAACAACTAAGAATTATGATGCATACTGCTAATTATGATTCCAAATTGAGTAACGATGAATATGCAGCATAATTAAGGTCGTTTTCTTGCCAGCTCTTTTTACAAGAAGAAACAAAATATAGATGACATCAAGTAAAATGAGGAGAAAGAACATACAAAGAGAGAGAAAACAAAAAATGAAATGTCAGTTTGCTATTCTGAATGATGAAAAGGATAAAAGCTCATTGCACTTACTTAAAACAATTCTCTTCATATATACTATTCCAAATACGATGTGGAGAACGCCCTTTGTAACCTGTGTAGCGTTCAGGGTTCAAGAGTAAATCAACATATTCCATTTCAGTAGATAATTCATCTGTCAAAATGAATATAAAAAGACAAAATAAGATTAAATGAATATCAAATAAAAAGTCAAATATTCTGTTAAGAACCAAATTTAAACAAATGAAAATATGATAATAATTTAATAAATTCATCTCTTGATAGAATATTTGGATTTTACTTTAGCCAAGATTTTAAAAAATAATTCCCTAATATTATCCTTACACTTAACACACTATCAAACATGAGTTAACTGTCTTGGTTGGCAGTTATCTTGTGCTTGGCTTTTTCTGATACATTTTCATCTGCAGTTTATTTGCAGTCAGATTTCGTAATTGACTTCTGGGAGTTAACATGTTAAAATTTCAGTTGTTTTATTGTGTGTGCAACATGTAGTGAAAGTGTCATGTAAAATGAAGAAAACGGTGGGAAGCATATTTAAAATTGTTGCATCTTGATTATACCACCAGTTTTCCATGGATACAAAAGCTCCATTAAAGAAATCTAACCAAAATAGATATTAAATAAAGAATAACCATGCAAGTATGTAAATATAGTAGGAGTTCCTAAGAATTTCAATAATCACCTTTACAAGAATTTCCTTATATTTTTATATTAGCAGGTGACAAAGGAAAAAAAGAAAACTAACCATCAATTTCACAAAATGTTGTTTGAGCATCATCAAAGTCTGACCAGTCCTTAAATGCTTGTTTACTTTCATCACTATAAAAAAAAAAAAAAAAAAAAAAAAAAGTGCTTTTAGAATTATTATAAATAAATAAAAAAAATCTGAATAAAAAAAATTATATATATATTGGAAATTATGCTGCTGCTGTTTTTATTGCTAAACATTTTGATATTGTCTTATGTATTGTTTTATAGTGCTTTACATGACAAATTTTCTAAATGTCACCTTGAAGACAACAGGCTGCAATCAACTACCAAAAATATTAAATATTCACCAAATTAAAATTTAAGTACAGGGTGCGATGGATAAATTGTCATCTAAATTATGAAAAAACAAAAATAACACCGACATCTCATTTCAGCAGATATAGTTACCAAAATTACACAAAAATACCTTGAAATACTAAAGAGTAAAATATTCAATAAAAATCACCATTGGCTTCAAGCACAGCCTTCAGACGACTTTGGAATCTCCTGCAACTCTTCTGGATGGTCTCCTTGTTTAAGTTGGTGAATGTTGCCATAATCCTGGTTTTCAGTTCATCTTTGGTGTTACAAGGAGTTTTGTTGGTCTCTTGCTCAACTGCTCCCCACACATAATAAATTGGTTTGCAGTCTGGGATGTTAGGTGGCCAGATATAAGTGGTGATGTGGTTTCAGAAATTGACAGCCATGACTGGGTTCTTCTGCTTATGTGACATGGTGCAGGGCCCTGTTGCCAGAGATAGGGTCTTCCAGCAGCCATCCTCTTGACCCAGGGCAGCACTACCTCCTCAATGCACTTGATGTAGACCTCCATGTTGAGTCTGAGGCCCTCACTAACAAATTCAGGAGTTCTTTTCTTAGAACAGAGTGAGTTTTCCAAGCTGCCATACCTTTGTAATCACCATTAGACTCATACAACTTTTTCAGAATCATCTCCACTGCCCTCAGATTGACACCCAAACACTCAAATGTTTGTACTGGAGCATCCGACATGGATGCCAAGTAGTACAGCATACTGTTTCCACATTTATTGCAGAGTGAATTGTGTCATGGTGCTCTTTTTCTCACAGACAGTGCCCAACTGACTCTACTATACTGTGCAGTCAACAAAATCAAAAAGAAACAATGTGCATGCGTGAAATTAAAAATATAAAATGGTGACAATTCACTCATCGTACCTTGTACATGACAAGTAAAAAAGTTAGTAGCAAAATGTGTACTCCAACATTTTGGGGTAATGAGAAAGAAAAAGAAAGAAAAAAGAAAAAAAAAAACGTGATTTTTGCAAAATGTTAAAAACAAATTTAACCATTATTTTCTGAACAAGGTAATATTTCAATATCCAAGTTCAATTTTAACAGGAAATTATAGACATCTCCCAAATAGGTTAAAACACTGAGCTTGTGCGAGAGCCATTGTTTATGGACAAACAGTTTGTTTATCCAATTTTACTGAACATTCTTAAGATAAACATCTGTATTGCTGAAAAAGTTTGATAATAATCAAAAACAGTATTGTATTAACCTTTGTACTTCATTTCTTAGAAAAACAAATTGAAATCATACTGGCATTAATCTATTAAATCATTTCATCAATTTTTTTTTTATATATTACTTTTGCTCACTATTTACATTATTCGGACTATTGTCCTCATCTTTGTGGCCATATTTATCACAATGTTTCGGTCATTGTAAACTCCGACCTTCTTCAGGTGGTTGGAAGGTTGAACTGAACCCTGAAACATTGTGATAAATATGGCAACAAAGATGAGGACAATAGTCCGAATAATGTAAATAGTGTACATAATACCACATCTCAAAAATATAAACAGATTACTTTTGCTTTTGCAATTGTTTTATGTGAATAGAATTATATCATTCAAGTGAAAGTCTTAGATATTCAAAATAAAAATTTAACACACTTTTACATTTAATTATGCCTTTACAAACCTGCTATCAACACATTATATATATATATATATATATATATATATATATATATATATATATATATATATATATATATATATATAACTAGACTCGAAAAAAACCTCAAATTTTTGATTTGCTAATCAAATCAATCTCGAGGAAAAAAAAGCTTTAAAAAGAAAGAGCTACAAACATGAACTTCTGCCGACAAAAAATCGCACAGATGCAGGTCTGAAGCCCAAAGAAAAAACCCCAATACGAGTAACAACTAACAAAAAGAGCTCAATACAACCGTAGAGCAGACCTAGATATACCTAGTGAGCCAGACAAACCTACCTAGGTTTCACCTAAGCGGATCGTCAGGGAAAGTTTGGCCAAACTTTCCCTGACGATCCGTTTAGGTGAAACCTAGGTAGGTTTGTCTGGCTCACTAGGTGTATCTATCTATCTATCTATTTTCAAGACACCATGAATGTTGCATCCTAACATTTGTACATGTGGTGCTATTCCCAAATCAGCATAGACAAAGAGCAGTATATAATAAATCTGTTTTGCGACATATTTTTATGATATTGTATGTTGGAGTGTTGCTTAACTTAGTTTGCACTGCAGAATATACAACTGAAACCAAAATGGCAACACCCATGAAAAATCACTGTCAGCATCTTTATTGTCATTTATTTCTAGTAAATGGAAATTTCCTATTTTCCCCCAAAAAATGGGCCAGCACAGCCAGGCAATAAATGTGCTAAGAAAACTTATTCAAGAATTTAACAGAGAGTAATGTTGACACTTGACACATTTTGGTAGACTTGACAGAATAAACAAAACACAAATATTATCAGCAGTTATAGTATCCACATACTAATGTCAATGTACACATTATATACAGTCTACCCTCACCACAAATGCATATGTACTTCAGGAAAGGAAAAACTTGTCTTTCATAGTTTTATCAAATTGCAATAACACTGTTTATTATGGGGAATCCTAAAGGATGTTGTGTATTGCAATAGAACTCTACTACATTGGCCACTCTTAGACAAGAAATTGAAGATGCATGTGCAGTAATCTCACTGGACACTTTGGCCAGCATTGCCCAAGCAGTATGTTGCACTAATAAATGTCTGGAAGTTTTTCCTTTCCTGAAGTGTGTATACATTTATTTTAGAGAACTATATATATATATATATATATATATATATATATATATATATATATATATATGTCAGCACTTTATAATCAAAATTGGTTACATGTAAGTAAAATGCAATATGATCATGTGTTTCTGCAATCTTCAGATATTATACAGAAATGTGGTAATTTATGATAATTGAAGAGAAAGTATTGACACAGCCATTAGAAGAATTTGCAAAAATCAAGTGCTTAAGTCAATATTAAAGTCTGTTTGAAATAACTTTTGCTGTTAAATTGATCCTTAGAGTGTAGTTGATTGATCCTTTTAAAAATATTTTAAAACTTAAAATAAGTACTATTTTATTATAAAAAGAATATCACTAATTGAAAGAATAAACAAAAATAAAAAAGAAAATGTTGACACACCCCAACTATATAAATTAGTATCCTAAATTACAACCCAACTGGACATAAGTGCCTTAATATTTAGCCAGTATCTACCAAATTGTAGAAAATTAGTATATTAAATGAATTACCATAAAAAGTACCAATGGAGTTGGGGAAGTTTCCTTTTATGATGAATTAATAAGAGAAGATAAAGAAAATATGTGGCAGGAGCAAAATAGGTCTGGTCAGAAACTAAGATAACAGTTCTATGTGGTTTGCAAGCATGTCTCACTAGATCATAGTATGACATAGTAGGAAGATCAATCCTCACTGGGTGCTCCATACTTTTGGCCTTGTGCCATATTTAATCTACATTTAGTAAATCACAATAAACACTATAAGAATTTTATATATTTTCACCCTTATTTAAATTACAAATATTCTGTAGTTATGGGATAAATATTTAGTAAGATGGTTATTTGGATCATAAAGTTGAAAGTAAAAATTAATGACATTTTATCAGATCTTTTGCACTTGAAGCAATGATAGCAAACTACTAAATATAATAATATGATAAACAAGAGATATCTACTTTAGAATAGGAATGATTAAAGCTAGAGAGGGTGCATGCATATAAAACACAGTTGAAAATTCACCATTACTTACCTAATGGTTTTATCTAAAGCTCCTAATTTTCTTTCCTCTTCACAGCTATGTTCAGAATTGGCCTTTTGAGAATACTGGATATAAAAAGAATTAAGTAAAAGAGAACATAAAAATAAATTCTTTCAGCTGAATTTACCATATCTGATGACATATAAGACCTCTTCATAAGACACTTGCAGACATAGCAAAGCCCAGTAAGAGACAATGAACCAGAGAGACAATCTAACATTCAACAAACAATTTAGAACAGAAGTACTACAATCTAAAACATAACTAAGTACTGTGTGAGCATCACCTTGTGGCCATATAAGGATAAAATTACAAAAACCTAAGTAACATGTAAGGTGCAATACAACAAACTCCAGAATGACTCAGTTTACAGATAAATGTATGGAGTTCTCATTAATAACAAATATAAACCTTGGAAAAAGTTCAGTAACTCATGAAAAGAGGTTATCCTAAGGGAAGAGAAACAAGAAAACAAAAAGATGCGGATGACAGATGAAATTTTAAAGATGGCACAGAATATATTATGCCAGAGAAAATACAAAAAAAATGCAAGTAAGCAAAAGACAACTGACTCAACAAGAACTGTGCAGGAAAAGAAAAACTGAAGAAAATGGGACACAGCAAGACAGAAAACATGCTCTTTGGCAGTATGCATAAAATCTAAAAAGGTGACAATCCGAATGGAAAAAGAAAAGACACTAGAGACGAAACAAATACATAACAGTGAAAAGAAACTTACAATACATAAGAACATAGAAGACCAGTTTATTAAAGTCAATACTGGCCAAGATGAAAAGGAACAAAGCCTTAAATTATTTCAGGATTTTTAAGGTTAAATGAAATGAAATATATAATAGTAGCAAGATACCAGAAGACCAGTAGATATATCTTCATAGCACTGTCAAATAAAAAGATTACATTATTGACAATAGACAAGACATTGTGGAAAACCATGGTCATCCACACCATGAAGAGACATGGCATATGAAAGAAGATTACAATATAATGGAGTTAGGCCTGACACAAGTACTGGTAATATATGGAACCTGTGTAAATATTAACCTAGCAAATACCTCAACTTCACATAATATCAGGATATTTTTGAACATTTTTAGAGATAAAAGTGGGTCTTATTTGCCATCAAATACAGTATACAGTCAGTAAATACAACATGGCCAAAGAGAAGAGCATTATTTTTATTTCAGTAAGTTACTTTCTAATACCATTGAGAAAGCAATGAATGCAAAATATCTAAACATTCATAGAAGTGAATTATTTTCAATTATTTATATAACACATTAGTATTAATTTTGCACTATTTTCTCGTAAAATCTGATTTAACAACTATATCTACTGAAAAGAGTAGAATTATGTTTGTAACATTAAAAATTTAAATAATAATAATAAAACCTACTGAAATTTAATAACCATAAATATTTCATTTTTGTAAGCTTTTAAGAACAATGATCTTATAGTTTCAATATTTTGAATTTGTTGAGAAGTATTGAGTTGCTGTCTAATTTACAGAATAATCAATGCAGAAGAGAAATTGCATAGACATTTTAAATCTTACCTTATCTTCTTTACTACCTACATGTTCTTTATCTTCTTTAAACCATGTTGGAAGTTCATCCTGCAAATAAAATAAATATTTTATAATTTGGGATACAAGAGAGTATATTTATTACCTTGCTCATTCTTATAATTCTGATTGTTGTGCTCTTAATTGGCATGTCCTGTAAATTCCTCATATATAATGGATCATAACATTTTGATCTTATGGAAAGATGAGAAAGAAATATCAGAGCAGACACACTACTTGGTTTCAGTGAAAAAAATGAAAGAAAGGGAAGCTAAAAGTGCTTAAAAGCTGTTTCAGTGAAATGGAAAAGCTGTCAATTTAAAATATTTTTATTTGTACCCCCTTACTTCTTAAAATAACAGCTAGCATTCATATTTAGGATTACCATAAGCTGATTCAATCATTAATTGAAGAGTTAAGATTAAACAGAAAATTCAAATAGGAAAATCGTAAAATTTTCACGGGTATTTCTAGTAAATTAAGGAGAGAAAAAAATTTTTTAGGAAAAAGAGCAAGATGGTCATTCTAAATTAAAACAAAAGTTTCTCTGTATATATGCAAATATTTTCACATTTGTACTTCCAGTTTTAAAAATTAATAACACACTAGCAAATTTAAATCATCACTTATCCCCTTAATCCAAAGTGATCATAATTTTCAATCAAATTGTCAAAGTAGGTGATCCTGATTAGCAAACTGAATATTTCTTGCTTAAACTTTTTTCAATATTTTATTAATGAAAGAAATATGTGTGAAAGAATCAAAATTTGTTTGAAAATGAAGAGTTTCATCACAAAATAAGATTTATCAATTATAACTCTTAGGAAATATAACTAATGTATTAAGTATTCATTATCAAAACTATAAATACTGAAGTAATTCAGTGACAACTCTAGGTCATCAATGTCTGATTCATTAAAATCTTTAACAAAATATACCATTGGTATAACTTAGATGCTGAAATGATTCCTTTACTCTAACTAAAATATATAATTTTTAAAAATCTGTTCATGAAATTAAAAAAAAAAAAAAAAAAAAAAAAACACATTTTGGTATTTTAATATTAATTGTAATAATTCTATCAACATTTTAAGAAATTTTCCAAACATGTAAAACTTGTGTATCTATCACAAGTAGGAGTCTGTATATATGTCTATGTGTTAGTGTTTATGTATCTCTGAATTTTTAGTTTAATTTATTGTATATACATTTATGATCAGTACTGCTGACTGATATCATATTTCTTCAACACTACCCCAGTCACACTTCTTACCCCAACCCTCCAGTCGATGAGTTAAGGCTGCCACTTTCTTTGATTTTCAGACTAAGTCTGACTAAATTTAATTTGCCCCTTTTTCAATTGATACATTCCGTTAAAACACCTTATACTGCATGGAATAAATTATTTAAAATGGACATTTGAAAGCAATAAGTTGAAATAAAAATATGTTCTTTGAAAAACCAGACATACATGTCATTAGAGATTTTTAAAAGATTTATAAAACTAAAGCAAGAAATACATTGCCTGTTAAGTATGTTTCCAACTTGAAAGCAGCCAGACTAGCCATATTAATTTTATTTCATTTTTTCTTTTTTTACTTTCTTTGTTTTTCTTCTTCATTGTGAACAATATTAATGAAATTTATTTTGGTCAATATTTTGAGGCACAAAATTAAAACAATTTTGGATCCAGCTGAAGTCAAGAATGAAAACGACACACTACAAAAGATTTTTTATTGCTTTGAAATAGATATACTTAAATGTTGACTCACTTGGGCTGAGCCCAATGAGCCTGACCCCCAGAGTCACCACTGAAGTAATTATAATGTTAATATCTTCATCAAAAGATACCATGGATAAGAAAAAAAATGTACAGTATATACAGTTCATTTCTGCATACACACTTTTCTCTGGAAACAAATTTAAGTTTTCTAATCACTTTTTTTTTTTAAAAAAATATCCAACATTTCTTTTTACTGAAATTGAAAAGAAAAATATTCTAAAGATTTACCAAATCTTATAATAAACATATTCAAAATTTAAAATTGTGTCACTTATCTCTATCTTAAGCATTTATCCCATTACCATTGAACATGTTCAATGAGGTCATATTATGGCAGAGTATACATGGAACGGGTTATGATAGGTTGTATACCGAAAGCCAAAATTTACAGAGCAGGTTGAACACTAAAGGGTTAAGAGGATAATTTAATATTCATTCATCTCCATTCAAGATATGGAAGATCATAATTCTACACAACTTTCTTTTGTTGCTCCAATTTGACACTTTACTTAGTGTTAGCATCTATTCACTCAAACTCATTAAGTAGCATAATAGCAGTTTTTCTCAGTCCTTCCTTTGCTTTCAACTGTTCCTATGAGTGTTAAATTCTCCAGACCATCTTTTCATCATGTGTCTCAGAAATTATAACAGCGTCTTTCTGATTGTAAATAAAAGTTTCCTTGTGGTTCCTATTTTCCTTAAAACTTCCTTATACATTCTGTTCAGGACATTCTCATTCATACAACATCTGCCACTCTGTCTCTTCATCTATGAGTAAACTGTCCCACATTCACTGGTATATAATAGATTATCTATTACACAGCAGTTCAGCACTATTCTTTGTTGCTAACTAAATGTTCTTATCTCTTTATACTTTGCTTAGTTTCTGAAAGATTACTTTCACTATTATTTTGTGCCTTCAGATTTCTGACGCTATGAACTCCACTCAAAAGCATAACTTATTAACTTGCCTAATTAAAAGTAGATTTACAGAATTTATAGTGCAATTTATTAAAAAAAAAAAAAAAAAAATATCAAAGCATTTTAAAATTCTATCTATATTTTTAAAAATTTATATATATCTATATAAGCATATATATACTTATTTGCATCTCTAAACCAACATAAATCAATTTACTTACCATATTACATGTATCAACAGCACAATCACGCAGTGAACACTGGCTATCATCATGCCAAAAAGGACAAGTCTTTTTAAGATTAACCTGAAGCGATAAAAAAATGAATTAAAAGTTAATTTTTTTTTTATCATTTTACCCCAAGCAAGGTGGAAATGCCACTAGTATGCAGGGGGTTACAGGGAGTGAAAGTAAGAGAAAAGGACAAAAGATGAATTGGATTCAAGAAGATAGCTTGCAATTGATGTTGCATTTAAATTTTTGAAGATAGTAGTTATCAGGAAGCAAGTAAACAGAAGGGAGTTCCACAGACAGGAAGTGTGAGAAATGAAACTTGAAATGGCGGTTGCATCAGTAAAATGGTGAGCCCTAGTTGTCAATCTAGTAGCATGCTTAAATTCATGTAGTTGGGGCACCAGGGTAAAAAGTTCATCAGAACAATTGTCATATTTGTAGAAATGACAGAGGGAAGCCATGCCACATCAGTGAGAAAGTGACTGAAGTTGAGATGCCAGGTCAGGATCAATTACATTGCAGATCCTTCTTTGGATTTTGTCAAGAACCTCAAGATGAATAGTAGGAGCACCAGACCAGATATGGCAGCAGTATTCAATGCATGGACGACAGGAAGATTTGTAAATGTACAAGATGGATTCTGACACAACACAGTGACCAAACTTCCCTTGCAGTAGATATAGCTATTGGTTCGATGCAGTCACTCAACTTAAGTCAGTTGAAAATGTGAGGCCAAGAAGGTGCAGTGTATTGCTCTCCAGGAGTCTAGTGTCAGCCTAGCTGATGGCAGGCAGAAAATGTTATATTAAAAAAAAATTATTTTCTGTCTAAATTTCTGAGATGAGAAGTTATCATTTACACTATTTACATTTGGATTATTTTTCCCCCCCATCTTTATTGTTGTTATTACAATGTTTCAGCCAGTGTGCTCTCTGGCCTTCATCATGTGTATATCAATCTGAGTAACCTACAGGGATTTCTAAACTGAAATCTTTATATCTATGATTGTTCTTGCTCCACTGCCCAAGGAATATCTTGACTAGTTCTTAATTTTTGTACTGCTGTTATTGCTCACAATTTATACAAGACCATAATCTGGTGGATTAAAGCATTAGTTTATAAATTTGGTGACATAATCAGGAATTCAATTCTTGGGCCAGGCAGGGTGTACTTTGAATCAATGGAAATGAGTAAGCAGTAACTGAGCAGTACTAAAAATAAGATGAGATATCTTAATTCCTTTTCTTTTATTGTTCTCTCTCTGTAAATGTAAAAGTTAATATGCAGTGTTGATTCCTATGTCCACTGTCATATAAAGAAATCCCCTCAAAAAGTATTGGAATGGTAAGGCCAATTCCTTTGTTTTTTATTGTTTACTGAAGACATTTAGGTTTAAGATCAAAAGATGAATATGAGACAAGAGTTCAGAATTTCAGCTTTTATTTCCTGGTATTTACATTTAGATGTGTTAAACAGCTTAGGACATACCACCTTTTATGCCAGATCACACCATTTTTAAGTGAACAAAAGTAAAGGAACAGATAATCTTAAAGTAAATAACATTTAATATTTGGTTGCATAACCCTTGCTTGCAGTAATCGCATCAAGCCTGTGACCTATTGACATCAAACTGTTGCAGGCTTCATTTGTAACACTTTTCCAGACTTTTAATGCAGACTTTTTCAGTTCTTGTTTGTTTTGAAGGGTTTCTTCAGTCAGTCTCATCTTCAGGAGATGAAATGAATGTTCTATTAGGTTAGGGGCTGGTGATTGACTTGACCAGTTTAAAACAGTCCACTTTTTTCCTGATGAAGTCCTTTGTTCTGTTGCCAGTATGTTTTGTCTCACTGCATGATAAACTTTCTCCAAATTAGTTTGGATGCATTTCTCTGTAAATTGGCAGATAAAATGTTTCTGTAGACTTCTGAATTCATTCATTCTGTTGCTATCACCATGAGTTATATCATCAATGAATAAGAATGAGCCTGTTCCAGACATGCTTTACAGAGGAGCTTGTATGCTTTGGATCATAAGCAGATTCTTTCTTTCTCCACCTTTTGACCTTTCCATCATTGTGGTAGAGATTAATCTTTTGTCGCTCATCTCTGTACTACCTTGTAAATTCCAATCTGACCTTGGATTCTTACTGCTGATGAGTGGTTTGCATCTTGTACTATGGCCTCTATATCTCTGCTCTCAAAATCTTATTTGAACAATAAATTGTGAAACCTCCCCACCCCCTGCCTTGTGGAGGTCGTTGGTGATGTCAGTGACTGCTGTTTTAGGGGTTTTCATCACAGCTCTCACAACATTTCTGTCATCAACTGCTGTGGATTTCCTTGTCCAACCTGTTCTATGTCAGTTGCTCAGTACACCAGTAGTTTTTTTTTTTTGGACATTCAAAATTGTTTTGTTGGTTATGCTCAATGTTTATCCAATAGTTCTGATTGAATTTTCCTTTTCTCAGTTTCAAATCAATCTAAAAGGCAACAAGAAACACCTGTCAGTCACATGTTCCAATAGTTTTGCTCACTTGAAAAATGGGTGGAGCAAACAAAAGATGGTGTGTTTAGCACATCTTGAAATTCAGAACTCTTGTCTCATTTATTTTTTGATCTTAAAACCAAATTTCAAAAAATATCAAAAACAAAAGAATTGACCTTTAAGAGGGGATTATATATATATATATATATATATATATATATATATATATATATATATTAGGTTATGACTAACATTTTGTAAAATAATTGGTTTCCTGTATCATAATTCAATGAACTTTCATTAAAAAAGTAATGTAGAAAGGTTTAATTTAGTTTATTTAAAAAAAAATGTCACCCTAACATGAAATTTCTAAATTCATATATAAGTATAGTAGTACTATTACTTCCTGGAGCCTTCTAGAATTTGATTTTGTTTATTTGTAAATTATGCTATAGATTTTATATATTTGTTAGATGTATAAAAAAAAAAAAAAAAAAAAAAAAAAAAAAAAAAAAAAAAAAAAAAGAGTACTACTATCCAATTACATGATTAGCAAATTGAAAAATAAAGCTTCCAAATATTTTGATGTTTTACTCTTATTCCATATATGGTAAAATTGAATTTTCAGTTTGGGGGTGACCTTTTTCAAGAACTAAGACAAATTAATGCCTTTTTAATTACTTTTGAACAAAAGTTTCATTTTTATTACACAGGAACAAAAGCTTACAAAAAAAGCCATAACCCTTTTTTTATATATTACAAACACCCTTCATTTTTTTTATCTGAAAACTAAAACAATCAAGTTATGTAAAGATCAATAAGAAAAAATTATTTGCTTACTTTGAAATACCGAAAGTAGTCTTTGTTGAGCAAGTTATTTAGCAAAGGCTGAACCTTAAGATTGTTGAAATAATCTGCTCTTTCCACTTTACAGCCACAGTCATCCACTGTACCAGATAACTGCAATAAGAAAAAGGTTTATCATTTTCAACAATTCTTACCTCCGTTTTTTTATATAATTATCATCCTTATGTCAAAGCTGAATATTTGAGAACTTTTTCATTTTGTCTTGAATAACAGATTTCAATATATAATTGATGACAAATCAATAATTTTCGATCTATATTTATAAAAAATACATTTTTGTATAAAGTACTTATTTTTCAAAGAAGCAAATGCACAGAATAGCTTGCTTTCAACTTAATTTTTTTAGGATAGACACTTGAAAGATTTCAAACAAAAATTTAAAAATTGGTCCTTTCACTCATAACAATATTCTATTTAACATCTTTGCATTTTGCTAATGAGCAAACAAGTGTTTCCATATTACACTTTAATCTTTATATACAAGGTCTATCTGAAAAGTAATAGGACTGGTGTCACAAACAATTTATTTCAATTTCAAACAACATGTTTTACCCTTCAAAGTAATCCACCCCGAGTCTAATGCACTTTTCCATCCTTAGGATTCTTCTTGGATGCTCCTCAACTCTGTTGCTACAATCCTCTTGATGACCTCCACCCCTTCAAAATTGGTCCCCTTGATGATCCCCTTGAACTTAAGGAAAAGAAAAAAAGTCACATGGAACAAAATCAGGTGAAAAAGGAGGTTGTTCCAGTACAAGGTTTTTCTCGGCCAGGAACTACTGGATGCTCAGAACGTTGTGAGCAAGTGCATTGTTATGATGAAGCAGCCATGATTTGTCCTGCTGCAAAAGGCAGGTGAAAAAAGAAATGCAATGGTTGCAGAAAGCTAAGATTACAGTTCTATATTCCTAAGATATCATGTAGATGATAACACAATCCGTTTATCCCTCTTCCACCTATAGCTCGCCCAGCATACTCAGTTACATTACTTTTCCAACAGACCTTGTATAACACCAAATTTCTGCTGCAAAAAAAAAAAAAAAAAAATGGATCATTTGCTAGTTTATTTAATATGAGCAAATAGAACAACAACCTTATGCAGACTTAAATATTGTAAAAATTTCCGACAACTTTAGCAGATAATGTAGAAAAATTCAAATGTAAAGAGATTGGTTTTCATAAAGTATTTTGCATTTATACACAATTCTTTCTGTTGCAAGTACTTTTCAAATGTTTCATCAAAATAGCTACAAGACCATGAAGAATTAGGCTGAAGATGAAAGATTTTACAGATATACAGTCAATTAATTGATAATCATATTAAAACCCATATTTTTTTAAGGAGAGGAAACAAAGTATGAAGAGGAGGACATCTTTCATGTTATTTATATAGTATCATGAACATTAAAAAAGAGAAAATGCATTACATACATGAAAATATTTAATGATACCAAAATACTACAAACATTTGAACTATTTTAAAACTAGCTTAATAGATGTAACTATCAATATACTTCATAAAAAACTTCTTTAGAATTTACGAAAATATAAGTTTCATTTTTATCCCAAAGTGCATGAGAACATTCAAGTTCTTGTTCCATTGCAGTCAGTTATGTGCCATGCATGATACACACTTAAGCGATCATCTATCTTTCAATACATAATTGATGAGGCAGATTTTTTCCCCACAGTAGGTTGCCATTTCTTTCTGTGGTAGACAAGTTGCCATCCAAGGCTATAGAATCCGGTCTGTCCTGCTATTTACTGATAGCTGGGGAAGAAGAAGAGGATTCATACCTTTTCCAAGGGTATTAGCAAATAAGTGAATGTAATGGATTCAACTGGAATTTGAACTTGGCTCTCCAATTCCTCATTCTGAGCCGCTATCCATTACTTCATGTTCCATGTAGTGAAAGAAAATATTGGTTTTATTCTCAATGTGCAATCCCACATAAAATCATATTTTTAAATAAAGACTTTCAATTATTACCAGATTTGTTTGAAATGACATTAGTTTTGATATGGAATAACTGTCTCAACAGCTTTAAACTTTTCCTCTAAAGTATTTCAAAATGTAAATAAAATTGGGCCGTATGTAATCTTTAATCTGTGATTGTATTATTATTGTTTTATTATTCTAATAGCAAGGCAGCCTTCTTTTATATAAATGGGGATGTACATAGAAGTTCTCAACCCAGACAAAAAGGGATGCCAAAATAAATTTTGAGGTTTGGTCAGATTTTTCCAAAGTTACTGAGGACTTTTCAGAAACCCCTTATACAATCTACCTGGCATTTGCATACCAATTATAGGATTCATAAGATACTCTTTACATTATGCAATTTAACTTTCAAATGATTTATTTTTTCTTTTTTTTTAGTAAACTTAAAACCAGAAAGGAATTCCACTTATGCCACAAAAAAGTTTGTTTTAGATAACCTAAAAACAAACAGATGTTGCAACACAAACATGTTTGAAAAAGATGTTTATTAAAGGCCACCAGAAAATTTCTTGTCATGTGGTTGAATTCAAGGGGAGTATTTTACAAATCAAAAAATTTTAACAGATTCAGTAAAATGCAAAGAAAAATTTGCAAATTGAGAAGAACAAAAAGTGAATATTCTAATATATTAACATCTACAGGGTTCTAGGGGAACTGGGAACAAAATCCAAAAAAAAAAAAAAAAAAAAAAAAAAAAAAAAAAGGTTCAGTACCATGATGGTGTCGAGTGAAATTTTGAAAGTATTTTGGTATATGTGTACTAAAATAACATTTTCTGTTTTTAATGTTTGTTGTTAATAAAACTATAGGAGATAAATTCAGTATAAACAATCAAAATTAAAAAAGGTTTCTTTGTGAAAGGTTTTAAATGTAACCAAATGAGAGGAAATGGGACACCATAATGAACACCATACTTTGGGAGGCACAATTATATATTTTAAATCAAGCAATTTTTGAGAGTTTGATTTATCAGACATGACTTTGATGAGCATTTTGACATGAAACTCTTGAGTCAGCTAACCAGATAAGTCACTTCCACTGCCTTAACCTGGTATTAAACTCACACTCTTTGGGTCCTGTCACTGGATCTAACTAACGCCTTTATCCACTGGTTAAGGCTGTGGAGAACTTGGAAAGGGAATAACAGGAGAACTGTTAACAGACATCCATTAGACATGGCACGTGGAACTAGAACAGTCTACCCCAGTGAGCGAAATAAAGGGCTTAATTTGACATTCCAACCACCTGAAGAAGGTCGGAGCATACAACGGCAGAAATGTTGCGATAAATATGGCAACAAAGATGAGGACAATAGTCCAAATAATGTAAATAGTGTACATAACACCTCATCTCAGAAATATAGACAAATTTCTATTCATTTAGTCAAATTAAGTCAGGCTTAGGATTGCTAAAGGTAACATGTAACCTGGTACAACCTGCCACATGAATGGGTGGTTGGCATCTAAACCAACCCCTTATTAGTTATTCTGCTAGTGAGGGCGGTGCCATGTCACCCCCACAGGATGAAAAACAAAACCTGTCATAGGGCAGGTGAACTTCTCTTATGATCCAATGACCAACATGTATATAGAAATGTCTGATCAAAAAGTATTGAGAGGGTTGCTATGGTAACAGGGCTAAAGCATGCAGAGTGAAGCTGTTTGACACAGATTGACCTTGAACTGTTGTGCATGCACACTAAGTTATGTTCTCGCTAACTTCAGTTCTTTATAGCAGTGCTTGGAAGGAAAATGTGTAGAGTGTGGTCGGCTCTCTACACATCACAGAGGGTGCAGCAGTTTTTGGCCTAAGACAACATTCCCCAGGTCCATACAACCACATTCCCCCCAGATATTTCTTCTTGTGACTTCTTCCCTTTCTAAAAAAAATCAAAGCTACCCCCCACCCCACAAAAAAGTTCCAGGAATGCTTCCATCAATGGAAACCACACTGTTTGACTTTGAAGGAGATTAAATGCTGAATTGATATGTATTGTAGTTTTCTTTTATAGCACCAATCCCAATATTTTTTCATTACACACACACACACAAAAAAAAAAGACAGTGATGGGATGTGATGGGGTTTTAAGCCTCGAATGGCAACCTTCCTAGAAATGGGGTTGTGATAAAAAAAACACTGTGTACTTTGACTACAAAGAGTACACAAGTTGGCTATCCAGACCTGGCCTTGCAAAACCTTGCCTCAAATTGTGACATATCTCAGTATATTGACAGATGTATATGGAGAGGGTAGCAGAGATCCTCCATCAGGCAGGACCCACCTTGATTTGTGCAAATTTAATCCTGGTTCTACTTCAACAAATAACACAGCTATGATGATAGTAAGCACAAGTATTATATTAAAGAACATTTTTCTTGTGCTGTTATATTTCAACTTAGTTTCCCTCCAGTCAATGCTTCATATTCCTTCTAGCATATATTTGCATGTTGATACTTAACTATACTTATTTCTTCAAGAGTTGTTCAAAGCTGTTAAAAACTTGATACTATTTGTAGACATTGTTAGACAAGACTCAATATTGACATTGTGTACAGGCATTTATCTGCAAACTTTAAAATGTCATGAACTATACAAATAGGAGTTTGTAACTGACATTTTTCAAGATTTTACCTTTGTTGTTTCTAACTTAGTTTTCACTATTTCAAGAATAACATTTTTTTCTTGAAATCAATTAAATATATTTTGTAATTAACGATAATAGTTTAAATGTAAAAATAAACCAATTTGAAAAAAAAAAAATCTGCTTGATAAATATATTGCTTTATGGCATTCATAAAAATTGAACAATCTCAAAAGTGGGGATAAAGTTGGTATTTGTTGAAGATTTCACCATTAAATCTGAAGATCAAATTCCACAGTTGTATCAGTTTGGAATGGCTAATACCTTGAAACAACATTTCAATGAGTGAAATATTGTCTTCTGTTATTGATAAATATGAACATCTTACACAAGACTCGTACTACAGATTCATACAGCCCTCTGAATGACAAACTAATAATTGCTTTCTGATCATTACATGTCAGCCATACACAGCAACAACTTCAGTCACTGTTGGACTCTTGCTCTTGG